CCCCAATCTTTGCTTTCTAAAGCATCTCTGCGGAGAAAAAAATATTTTGTTTTCTCATAATATATCAATTAATAATAATAATAATATTAATAATAATAATAATGTGTCTATAAAGCTTTATAAAGGAAAATGTCTAACTGCACTGGAAAAACTTCCTAAATTAAGTGTATTTACCCTTAATTTGAGTAGGTAAATTAGAGAGTTTGCCAATGGAATGGGTTTTTTTTCTCCTAAAATAAGATGATTAGATATTTTGCACATGAAACAAGACAATGCAATTGTGTTTTCCAATTGTGTTTTCTTATTTTAAGTGTAAATTATCTTGTTTCATTGGCAAAATGTCTCTTTTACCTCCTCAATCCAAGACCAAATGCACTTATTTTTAAGAAAATATTACTATCTAGATTTCCATTTTTACCAGAGTGGTATGGTGTCATTTTTACAACACCATACTTCAAACAATTCAACCTTTTGTTCCTAATATTCATAATTAGTTGAAGAGATTTTTTTTTATTTTGTATATAGTAAAGTTGGATGTCAGGGAAGTCTGTGTCTTCTGTTGTGTGTGTGACAAAGGCTTGGACATTGTAACAGTAAGAGGGACGCGCACAGAGGATATTTTAAGGTTTGCCACCGGGTATTTGGTCAGTTGTGGTGGTAGACCAGATTTTTTCAAGACTGATACTTTAAATGTTGTTACTGCTCAGAGAATAAAATTGAACTGTGCAATCAATTGAATAAAATTCAAACCTTTGTGCAGTGTCTGCCTTGAATTATGTTTTTAAATATATGTAATTTAAGTAAAAAGATGGGACCAAGTTGAACTGCAGTGAAACATCTTAAATTGCTTTTCTAAAAATATAATTTCCACAAAGAAGCTCAGAATCATATTTAGTTTTGAAATGCACCCAAAGTACATAAATAATCCTAGATGGATATGTAAATAATTGTATCCAGTCAGTTTCACACAAGCAGTTCAATAGGGTTCGAGTAAAAGATGAATCCAAGGAAGGTAGGCAGGTTTAGACAGGCTGCCCTCTAGTGAAAAATGACTGGATCTGCACTGACAGGACTTTCTTCATCAGAGGTGAGGAGAAAGCAAACAAGATAGGAGTTTAAACATTCAGCAAGCAGATCTGTCACAGCAGCACAGGGAAACACAGTTCACATTGTTCTTTTCTTAACCTGTAAGATGAATGCTGCTCATTAATCATGGTCATTTGTCTTCTCTTCTGTGTAGAGGTCAGCTTTTAAACCTTGTTCTCTGTAACGCAGCCAACTCTCTCTATTTCCCCTCCCTCTCAGAGGATCAGAGAAAAAAGGCTGCAGTTTGTTGCTGCTCCACTCAGTTTTTTTGTGGCTCTGATGTTGTCTGCCACCAAATCCCAGCTGAATAAAAGTCAGAAATTGAAGCAGCAAATTATGTTTTATGTATGTGTGCTTACACAAGGAAAGCAAGCCAAAAAGTGGGCCAATCATCACAGAGAGCGCTTTACTGCAAAAACAGCTTTCACTTTTTGTTTTCCCTTATTGTTTTGGAAAAATGACACTGGCAACAGAGAAATCTGGCAAACACTCAATATGAATGTTCTGTTTATGACATTCATATTTATCTCAATACATATTCTGTATGATGTTGTAGAAAAATACCTAATATTTGTCTGATTGTTCATGAAAAATTGGCAATTCCATATGTCCAATAGCATCAAACCATATCTTCTTTATATGTTCTTTTAAAGTATTTTAAGGCAAATTTAAAGCAACGCATGTGTAACTTTTGTTCAGAGTATCAGCTTAATTTGAGTTTTATTAAAGGGTTTTTTAAATCACTAAAAAGCACTTGGTGCATATTGATGCTCCGTACGGGCTACTTTTCTCAAAAACTCTACTATGTAGCTTTACAGGTATCACCAAATAAGTCATGTAACCTAGAGAATTGTTTATGGCTGTCTGAGCTCCCCCTAAATAATTTAAATGACTAAGCTAAAAGTTATCAGGCAACAAAAGAAGTCATACCTATTGACAGTAATCAGTATTTTTTGGTTTTCTGATGTAGGATTAAATCTGGTAATGGTGGCATTTTTTTTCTTTTTTCCCTTTTCTATTTTACCAATTTACATTGAGGAAAATAAGTATTTGATCACCCTGCTATTTTGCAAGTTCTCCAACTTACAAATCATGAATGGGTCTTAAATTGTAGGTGCATGTCCACTGTGAGAGACATAATCTAAAAAATCCAAACTATTTATGTGTATGCTACAGCTACAAATAAGTATTTGAACACCTGTCTATCAGCTAGAATTCTGACCCGCCACCTCTACTCCATTTATTATCCTAAAGATGCACCTGTTTGAGGTCGTTGGCTGCATAAAGACAACTTTCCACCTCATACAATTAGTAAGATTCCAACTGCTAACATAGCCAAGACCAAATATCTATCCAAATATCTGGGGGCGACAGTGGCGTTGGATGTTAGCCTGACGTAGTCCGACTCAATTCTAGTCAGAATATGAGTCTGATACTGCTCCATAGAGCTGTGATTATGGGGCGTGTTTTGAACGGACTAGGAAAAAAAATGCCTCTGCACTCAATTGGATAGATCTACAACCAATAAGAGCAATGGAGTGCGTGACGTATGTTAAGCGAGGCATAGTTGTTGTCCACAAAAATCAAAGCGTGCAGTTTCACGCCTAGAGTAAGAAGATGAGCCTGGATCGCGTTTCTATGTTCCTCTTTTAAAATTAATTTGCTGTCGATATCTTCTAGAACAGACCTAAAAGCAGAATCTACTCACCCAAACTCTCCAGCGGCAGCCATTATTGTTGTCACCCTAGCGCGCTTTGGTCACGTGGTTGATTACGTTACTCTTGATCATCTGTCCATCATCGTATAAAGTCCGCCCTGACAATTTGATTGGATCGCCTGACAGTGGGCGATAATACTCGCGCTACTATGGAGCAGAGCCAGACCGAACTTCCCCGAACTCAAACCTTGTGGGCGGGACTAAGTTCTGACTGGCACCCAGGCTAGTTGGATGTAGGAGTTTGCCCTGAAATCGAAGGATTGATGGTTCAAGCCCCGACTCCGACTTTCAGTGTCGTTGTGTCCTTGGGCAAGACACTTCACCTGCATTGTCTACTGATGGTGGTCAGAGGGCCCGGTGGCGCCAGTGTAGCTGTGGCTACAATGTAGCTTGCCACCATCAGTGTGTGAGTGTGTGGGTGAATGAATGCAGTGTAAAGCTCTTTGGTCAAGTCTCTTGACTTGAATAAAGGCGCTATATAAGTACATGTCATTTACCATTTACCAAAGACACTGGAGACAAAATTGTACACCTCCACAAGGCTGGAAAGGGCTACGGGGGAATTGCCAAGCAGCTTGGTAAAAAAAGGTACACTGTTGGAGCAATTGTTAGAAAATGGAAGAAGCTAAATATGACTGTCAATCTCCCTCTGACTAGGGCTTTAAACTGTCACCTTGTGGGGTCACAGGCATGGATATTTTTGTCTATCAGAAGATCCCTGCAAACTTTGATGCTCAGCTGTTCACTTGCTCTAAACATTTTGCTGACTGGACCGGGCATTCAAATTGAGCCAGAGGGGGACGGAGCGACTGAACCTGACCCGGTGACGGTATGCTTCCCTCCGTCTGCCTTACCGTGCTTCCCCCGCCTGCCTAGTAAGCCAGGCGGTGCGGGGGGAAGCATGGGGTGGCCGGAGCTGACGGTTCGGTTCGAATGCCGGCACTGTTTCGACTACATGCAGGACTGTAGGCGACCAAAATCCAGGATGAATATCCCCCCAGACATTTTTTTTGATATGAAATGTAAGACATTTCAGGGAAAAAGAGGACATCTGGTCACCCTACCATATCAACAATTTCAATGTTTCAGTGAGTGAGTGCTTTTTGCCATGATGCATCTTTCTGTTAGCAGCATTGCTCGTTGAAATCCAACCAGTCAGCGCACAGCTCATCTAAATATTCATGAGCATACCATAAAAGGAAGAAAACCTGTCGTTTCATTCTAGGACTTATAACAAGGCTTGCATTAGGGCGCATAGAACAGCAAATATGTCATTTTAAGCCCAACCAATGTTACACACCATATTCAGAGACCTTAAAGACCAGCACCAAATACCCTATATGATCATTCTATGACCCCTTTAAGTTTGCCAATGACTATTTGGATGATCCAGAGGAGTCATGGGAGAAAGTCAAGTGGAAATAGAAATAGAACTTTTTGGTCATAATTCCACTAACTGTGTTTGGAGGAAGAAGCATGATGAGTTTTTTTTTTTAGTTTGTTTAAGTCAACTTATCCTGTGTTTTGACACAGCACAAGCACACAAAAAAAAACTTCCTTGATGATTAAACATTTATCCTTTGAATCCCTTTTTTCAGTGAGAACTTTCACCTTTACAACCTAACCCATTTTGTTTATATTTGCTCCAAATGAAACTGTTTACGGAAAACTGAGGGTGTTATATAATGCTCATGATTTAATTACCTTCTTATGGGAGTTTTACAATAATTTCCATTGTTTCAGCTCTTGTTTAGGTCTTGTTTCCAGTCAGTAAACATGTGCAACACCTTCTTTTTGTTGCAGACTAATTAGCATTATGCCACTTGTAGGGGTATTTTAAAAAGATGTAAATTATTGTACGAGTTCAGATTTCTTTCTACACTTGCTCAAAAGAAAGATGTGCTTTTGACTAAGTCTGTTAAAAATACTTTTTTTGCTCTGCATAGAATTTATGCTGTAGAGGAAGCCAGATGCATTTATTTTCACCTGGCTTTTGTTTCAGAGTAAAAATCTTACTAATTTAATAACATTGTTTCAGCTTTTAATTTCCTGTTATTTAGCATCACATGGCCGACTCCATTTCATCTAACAAAGAATCTCTTGTCCTCTGTCTTGCAGAAGATAATGAAAATGTGGAGTTGGTGCTATTTGGAAACAGCCCTTAAACAATAACGTTTTGTGTTGGTCTTTTATTCAGGTCGAGCTGAGTGAGTGAGGCCCTGGAATGAGAGCTCTTTGCCATCTTGTCTCCCCCAGACCTCCAGGAGGAGCACACTGGGCGATACACTGAGGTAAATAACCATACTGAAGAAATAAATACCCTTCTGCAGACAAAGCCTTTCTCTGATGATGTTGACCTTCAGTATTTGCTGAGTCAAACACCCCCCCTCTCGTCCTACCACCGTTGTTTCTTCTCTGTGACTCTCCCTCCCCTTTTATGTTTCGTTATTTTCCCTTTTGTTTTTAAGGGTGACAATGACGGTGATCAATGGACAAACTTGATGCTGACTAACTTTAAAGTAGTCGAACTTCAGAGCGACTTGCTGTTATTTTCACACACCGAGGCAGACCTATTTATGGAATGGAGGGTCCTGCCCTCTTTGAAAGGTCTGTTTTAGGATGAGCTTTGGAGATAGAAAGCAGTCGGTCCCAGCAACCCGAGGGGGGGAGATAAGGGGTGTAAGGTCAGACATTTGTAGTGGTGTCCATTTTGCTTCTATTAGATGATTGGAAGAAAGGTGTGTATATTACCAAATAGTGCCTTGGCAACTAATCGATATTTTTCACCTTTTATATGAAACGTCCTCTAGATAGTGCCTTATTCATAAGCTTTAGCGGTCAGTAACCTGTCTTTTTTTTCCCCCCACTTCACTGGAGATCACTGCACAGAACTTTATATTATGGACCCTGTTTGAAAGATTTGTTAGGTGATAACACCATGTGGTCATTACAGCAGCACCAGCTGTCTCCCTCTCTCAGTTTCAGGGTATCTATTACTGATCTTCTGTGTTCCCTGTCCTCCATCCTTCCTCCTGTCCTGCGCATTATGTCCCTGTTCAGCTGTCCCCTTCCTTCATTAAATATTCCTTTGTTTTTCACCAGTTCTGTTGGAGGTTTCCCTTATTAAATGCAAAATGTAAGTCCAGGTCAGGATTTCCTGTTTATTAGTATAAGCTGTCCAGAGCTGCTCACTATATTCAATCTTAGTTCTTTTAATCGGCGTGGGAAAATTAAATTCCAATAATAAATTCCATTTTAGCCACAATATTTGATAGGATGCTAAATCCTAAAGATCCTTTGGTTCACATCTACATTGCAAAAATCATCTACAAATAAGTAAAAATTTCTTAAAGTTTATGTACCCTTAATTTAACTCGGTAAATAAGATGCTTTGCTAATGGAATTAGTGTTTTTTGACTCCTAAAATAAGATAACAATGCAATTTCTTTTTCTTATGTAAATTGTGCAGTGGCAAAGTATTTATTTTACCTCCTCAATTCAAGAAAAATGCAATTATTTTGAGAAGGAAATAACTTATTTAGATTATTAAATTTTTTGCAATATTAAATATCAGTGTTAAAGTGAGATTAGCTAATTGTCAAAACTTTCAATCTTAACCAGCTAATTTTACTGTCAAATTAATAATCCCCCTTTGCTACTTGGATGGACTTCTGACCTTAATGCTCAAACCTTATGTGTGTTTTTATATACATTTGCTTTTCCTCTGCGGGCTGGAAAAGCCTGGAATTTTTGATTGTTTTCTAAATCTGGATAAGTATGGAAAAAGAAAATGGTTTTGGATATACAGTCCTTAAAGAAGTTATTAGACCACCTCTTATTTCTTTAATTTCTTTTTCTAAAGGTATATTTACTTGTTGCCCATACAGGTTAACATAATCCCCCCCAAAAAACAACGAAAAATCTAAAGTCACAATACATCAACCAAAAAACACACCACAAATGCCACAACAGAAGTTGAGATAAAAAGGAAGTTATTCTGAAAAACTAAGCAGGTTACACCTGTTATACGCTGTGCACTATAGGACGTTGCAGGACGGAGTCCCTTGTGAAGAATCGATGGAGAACCTGAATGCAATGCGATAAATTTTGCAGGATTTTTTTATGATCCACAGAAGAGAAACATGTTGAAAAACCAGCGGACAGAACCTCACATATCAGTTTAGAAATCATAGGAGTAACAATGGGAACTGTTAATGAATAAATTGCCTAATGGATGTAAAGATACCACATTTCCTGGATTGAAAAATATAATTATTACTGTTTGTAATGCGTATCTGCATTACACACATTAATGCTCATATGTATAAAATGACCCAATTTATCCAATATGATCATCATCTGCAACAAGCAACCTCAAGAATTATTATAGGGAGAGAGATTTGGCAAGAGGAACTGGAAAGACTCTGTTGATTCCAAACATAGATCCCCATAAACTATTAAGGCAGTAATAAGTTTAGGATTTCTTAGTCAATTCATGTCTTGGAGAGCCTGTTATGTTTTGATCAGAGCAAACAGGACCGCAACATGGAGTTTCAACCATAGGCAGCAACAGGTGCATTTTCAGATTGGGGGACATTCAAAAACTGGTAAAGGCTTACACCTGTTCTCTGAGGGTAGCCAATATTTATACTGTCAAATAATTTGTGTAGGAAAAAAAAAAAAAAAAACAGTTTTTTTTACACCTGTTGGATTATTTCTTCATGTGCCTGAAAATGTTTTTCTCAGCCATCATCTTTGATCTGCAGGGCCCCCCAGCTCTAACTGGCTTCAGTTTCTAGACAACTTGAGTTGTGACTTTTGGATTCTCTGGGCAGCCATATATTTTAACTGAAGAATACAATGAATACAACAACCCAAAAAACAAAACAGGAATAGCCATATATTTTTTGCTTTGAAAGTGTAAGTATATTATATGCTATATGTTAAGAATCTATATAATAGAGATTTTAAAGTAGAGCTGATCTTAGGTTTGGCCAGATACCAAAAAAGGACATTCCTCAGAGCAGCTGTGGCTACATTGTAGTTTACCATGACCATGACATAGTTAGTAGATGAAAATAAAGTGTAGCCATTCCTGTCCACCCATCCTCTTTTTGTCCCTTCACTGCATATTTCGCTGCCAAATTACATGCATACTCCCCAAAGAACTAATGTGACATCAAAATGACCTAAAAATAGTTTAAGCTATCAATATTTTGTTTTCTAGCATAACACCTACTATAATTTCTTTCAATCTTTTGCACAAAATGCAAATCATGGCTTTGCTGATGATTTCGGGAAAATAATAAATCACAGTTTTTGACTCTTGACAAACATACGTATGTTTTGTTTTGCATTGATGTATTCAGTTTGTTGGTTATTATGACATTTTTGGACAAAATAGAAACTCTTGCTCACTAACATGCCCCTCACGCTTCACCCAGTAGCTCACATATATAGAGGACTAAAAAGCTTTCTGGTGTTGTATTTTCAGGCTGGAGAAGAGTAGACCTGTGTTAATGGCAGTAAAGTGCCAAGTCAGAATGCACAAGTGGATTTTCTTTTCTCTTTTTATATCAGCATGTGACTCAGAGGGAGGTACAGGAAAGTTCCAGGAAAAGAGAATAAAAAGAAAGCACACAACAGCATTGTTCACTTTTCCTACTCGTTCTCCATGGCAACTTAAAACAATATAGCAAGAATTGTGGATTTTGTCTTATAAAAGTGCAGTGATGCAGGTGTTTTAGTCAGTTAACTTTGGCAGATTTCTTTTAAAGAAAAAAAAATAGAGTAATCACTTTTAATGGTAGCCGGGTTTTCTAAAAACTCCTAAGCATGTATTTCATTGCTTCAGTTTTTGAAAAGGCTCATCCCCTTCCTCTAATCACTGCATTTCATCTTTCCTCGCTCCTCTGTCTCAATAACACTTAATTGTGTTAAGCTCAGCTAAAATGTGGGAGCTAAGATGGATGTCAGATCCTAACTTTCAGCTTTCTGGTAAAGAGATTAGATGGTCTTGATTAGTTAGTCTGCTAACTGACAAGGTAAGCCACAGACAGCAAACAAGAGTTCAGATGGTATGTTAACTTTTGTACTGACTGCCGTTATTAATTCCAACTCCATTTCATAGAACTTCGTCCTTCTTTTACGGTCGCTCTCAGATTGCCAACAACAGAAACCCCATGAGACGGACTGTCTTCTTAAGGCCAGAAATTACCGAACACGAAGTAGGGCCAAGCTGATTGATGGCCTGGTCATATGAAGTCTTGGAAATTACATCTCATTGAAATGCATGGGGCTAGTCAGACCGCACACGATTCTCTACTACTGTGCTTGTGTAGCTCTGTCCGAGGTAGACCCCTGGTCTATTTTGGTCGGACCTACCCAGCAATTTGACAGGAATGTCATGAGTCAGACAGAAGACTGACATGATGACAAAGTAAAACACCTCCGCTTTGGGTATGCTTTTACTGCAAATTGAAATTTTTGAATGGCAAGGTAAAGCAGCCAGTTTTGTTCCATATGAGTTTGTCCAGATATAAACAGTGATTATATGTGTGCATCTGGCAAGCAGACTGGGAAAGCTTCACAATCAATGAAAGTTTTCAATAAACAATTAATTCAAGGAAGGAGTTGAGAGGTAGAGAAAACAGATAAGTAAAATAGTTATTAGCTGAAGTGTTTTTTGAGCTTCACAATAAAAAAATTGAGGCAACGAGGATGTTTATTCCCTCACTAACATCCTAACCCTATTTTTCTTAAACACAGTTTCCATTATATTCTGTGTAAGTTTTATTAAAATCCTTTAAATGGTTGGTTATTTTTGAGAACGTCATGTCATGAGTATGATGTATTGGGCTGCTTTGTATTTTGATTGAAAAGTGACATTGCCTGCAGCTTTGCTTTCTTCAAGTTTTAGAAACACACCTGTTGAATTTTTTTTTTTACTTTCAGGATCTGACCCAGTCAAATGCAGGACATTGTTTTCATCTGTGGGACAAAAAAAGCTGAAGCACAGGTTCAGCTTCTAGTAGTTCTAAATATTCGTCCAGCGCTAGGATGGAATAATTTAGACCAAAGCATAATCATGTGTTAAAATGGCCTAGTCAAAGAAATGACATCAATGTGATTTAAGTTATCTAGCAAGGCCTAAAAATGCATGTTAATGGATCCTCTCCATCTATGTCAACCGTTCTTAAATGATTTTCAAAGAATTTTAGTCTTGGTGTTTACTAGCTGTTACACACATCAATAGAAGCCTTACTTGTAAAGGTGGTTCCTCTATGTATTA